CTCTGCCCGTGGAGCCTCCTTCTCACTCCTCAAGGACCCCCTGACATGAGAACTGTCTTAGGTCCTGGTCTGTCCTCTGAGCTCAGTCTTGGTCTTTGCTCTGCTCACGTCATCTCCCTTCCCTGATCATACACGGGTCCAGGCCTCATCCCTAGTCCATCATCCACCCAATCCTGATCTGGACAACTATTGCCGCAGGGCTCTCTCCGGCCTGGCTCCTCTCTGAACTCTGCTTATTACTAAGTCTTTCTTATTGCTCCTTCTTTCTTTCTTTTCTTTTTTTTTTTTTTTAAGAAAGAATTATTTAATTTTATTTAGTATTTTTATTTGTAAAAAATTGCTATAGGGTACATGTGCTCACCAGAGAGAGACAGATAAAGAGAGAGAGGGAATGGGAGAGAGAGAGAGGAAAAGTGAGAAAACAGGCCTCCAGGTCTGAGACTTGAACCACGGCTGATCATGTGGCAGTCCAATACCCCAACCACCATACCACTTGCTGTCCCCGCTCCTTCTTTCTTACTGTGTCTCTCCTGAACTCAGCACCAGCTTCCTCTGGAACTGTGTTGAAGATAATATACATATCATGGCTAAGGGCAACCCTTTCAATGACCACCCAGTGTGTGGACTGGACTTTCATCTCTTCTCTGGGAGAATTTCGAAGTGAACAGAGATACTGCCCATGAATTAAGGCTCAGCCTTTGTCTGTCTTCTCGATAGCACCAAAGTCTCAGATTTTTGATGAGAGCTATTGGAACCTTATGGAATGAAAAACTCTAGTGGTTGAAGCCAGCATGCCTGGCTTCCTCTGGAGACCATTAGGAGGCTCTTTCCTGGGGCCATTTGTTATTCATTAAAACAGGTCACAGTTCATTCCAGAAAAGGTGTTCTAAAAACATGGAGTAACGGCAGCCTTGTCAGAACAGGAGCAAGAAAACAGAAAATGGAGTTAGTCAGCCCGAGTACCCATGAATAGAATCTGCTCTTGAATTTCTAGTTGAACAACCTTGGGCAAGTCACCAAAACTCCCAGAGCCTTTGCTTCTCCATCCATAACACAAGGATGAAAAGAAGACCTTTCTGATGGTCTTGGTTTGAAGATAAAATAAAATGACAACTATGAAAGTGAATTGTGACATGTTAGGTGCATTCTAATGTTAACTATTTATAGTAATATGTATTATTATTTGCTCGGATTCCACAGGATGCTTTGGCACCAAAACCCAGGAGCCCAAAGTCTAACTGCCTTAAAAAGAAGGAAATTTATTTCTCCTCTAACTTCAGATCCAGAGGCAAATCAGGCTTCAGGGTTGGTGGGTACAAGATCTTAGGTTGTCATCAGTGGTCCACACTCTTTTTGTCTCTCTATCCTGCCATCCTGTCCTGGGTATCAGCTTTATCTGTAGCCTGATCTAAAATGGATTAGCAGATCCAGACATCACTATTCTGGCCCTGTAGTTTTCTTTTGGAAGAAAGATAACTTCTCCTGACTCTGGCAGCCTTCCCCTCATGTCTTATTCTATAGAAATTTTCTCATTTGCCACTTTATAGAACAATCAATGGCACCCTTGAGCCAATCAGGTGCTTGAGGGTAGGGGAAGGATGATACTAGACCATATGGGTAGTACTGGGCCCTAAGAGGGCTCGGTTATAAGGACAGGGTGAATGAATGTCAAGGAGGCAACAATGGTTTCTTATGGGCTGTGCCATTATCACCATGAGCATGAGGCTATTTTCTCTAAGCGTAGAGCATGTACTTGTGTGGCCAGTTACATCCCCAATACTCCTCACAATGCCTGGCCCATTGTAGATGCACCATGAGATTTGCTGAGTGAGTTAAAGATGGGCAGTGGGAGGTTTGATGAGGACAACACCGTTTACATGAATAGGCTTGGTGCATGTCGGTATGCACTAGGTAGCCCTTGCTGAGTGCCAGGAACATCTCTCTTGCTTGTTCCTGTGTTCCCACTACTGAGTACAATATCTTCCCATCACAAGTGCTTCATAAAAATGTGTTAAGTGAATAGATGGCACATATTTTATGGTAGAAATTGGACCTTTTTTTTAGGAAAGATTTTTGCTAATAGGGTATGTTCGCTCAATGGAGAAAGAGACAGAAAGTGAGAAATCACCCCTTGCCCCGGGGTGATGGCCATGCCACAGTTCTTTCTCCTCCAGTCTCCTCTCAGGATTTTGGGCATGCACGCATATGCATCCGGCATGAGTTTTAAGCAGTCAGATCTGGGACTCCAACTGCAGTCAACTACGTAGTTGCCCAGCATTGTAACTATTATGCCATCAGCTAGAAATTGGACTTTTCATAATAATAATAATAACAGAGGGACCAGCAGTTAGCCTAATGGCTATGTTGCTGGACTCCCACATAGTCGACCACAGTTTGAGTCCCAGACTTGCGGCTTAAACTCACGCTGGGCGCATGTGCATGCATGCCCAAAATCCCAAGAGGAGAATGGAGGAGAAGGGATTGTGGCATGGCCATCCCCACTGGGGGGTGATTTCTTGCTTTCTGTCTCTCTGTCTTTCTGGTGAGCACATGCGCCCTATAGCAAAAACCTCTCCAAAAAAAGAAAAAAATAATAATAGCATAGCAGATCCTTACATAGTGCTTCTTCAATTACAGCACTAGATAAAGGAAGCATTTCATACTAGGGGTATTCAAAAAGTTCATGGAAAATGTTGCATGGATTTCACATTGTTGGCAACCAAATGAACTTCTACTTTACTTCCATTTTCCTATAAACATTCTGAAGCCTTCTCATAGACAGTAACTCCTATAATTTTCACAACAACCTCCTGAGTTAGGTACTATACTTACCCCTATTTTACATCTGGAGAAACCGAGGCCCAGGAGTGGTAAGTAACTAGCTTCGGGCTGCACAGGGGCTAAGTGAGTGGGGCTGGGTTTGAACCAGCCCACCTGGCTCAGAGGAGCTACTCTTACCACAGCATCCTGTAAGCGTCTTCATTTTGAATCAACCCTCGCAGATTTTTGGCCACTTACTAGGCTTGTCTAATGAGACTTTGCTGTCTCTCCCTCCGCGGGCTCCTGGATCCTGGTGCCTGGCTGTCAGGGAAGCCAGGGGACCATGTCCAGGGTCCTCCCACTCGGTGGATTGGGGTAACCATGATGGGTGGAGGAAAGGTCAGAGCAGGGCAGCCTGGTCTCAGCCTCCTTGTAACAACCCTTCTGATCACAGACTTGGGTCACTTCTGTGTCCACCTTCCTCCCGGAGGAGCACCAGTCTGCAGGATCCCAGTCGTATCGTCAGGGAGCCTGCAATACATCATTGGTTATCAGTAAGCGTCCATTTCAGACTGCCCCTTTGTTTGTCAGGAAGGGGGACTATTTATGGGGCTGCCGCTTTGCATAGTGAGGAGAGAATTGGGCTGCATTTGCGGTAGTGTGGCTGTGGCTGTGCTGTCAGCACTGGGCTGACTTGTTCACTTACTGGCAGGGCCTGGTGTGTTACAGAGATAAGTCCCTCTCAGCAAGAACCAGCCTCAGCTCTGGCAGCTGGCTCCCCCCATGGCTGCGGAGAACTGGCCTCTTTTTGAGCTTTTGGTTCCATGTGCCTGACAGTGTCAAAAAGGATGCTAATGAAATAATAGCAATAACAATAATAATTAATAACAACAAACCACTTATTGAACATTGATCGTGTGTGCCAAACACTATTCTACTATTTTCAACATTTTGCATGTGTGAAGTTGTCTGCTCCTCTAAATAAGAAGCACTTTTTCTCTTTGCTATACAGATGAGAAACCAAGACATGAAGCTCAGTTATTGTGAAGGGATGAGTTTCGAGGCCAAGCGTCCGCTCTTGTCTTGTTTACTCCTCACAGTAGAGAGGAACTCTTGGTATCTGAAGAAACCCAAGTTAAGAAAGGTCAAGCAACTTGCCCAAGATCGTCGAGCAACAGGACCAGCTGGGATTTAAATCCTAGGGGCTTGCCTTGGTCCTTAACTACCACTCTCTAGGCCTCTCTCCTCTTTTGCAACAAATCAGAATGAGGTGCCAGCAGAAACCCAGTACTCCTTGTATTGGCTCCCCGCCAACATTCCAGTTCTTTCCTTTGGGACGGCCTTCCTCAGG